CGGATCTGCTGCAGTCCCTGCTGTGCTGCATCTGTCTGGGCAGGGAAAATGCTCACTGCCACCAGTGTCTCCCAGTCCCTCCATGTGATCTCACTGGCTACATCTCCCTGAGCACAGGAGACATGCCTGGGGACAGTTTCTGGCACTGAGGTCACATAGCGCAGGGTGAGTCATGTCCATATAATTATAGTCTCTTATCTCTCTTATCCTGCATCCAAGGTGGGAATGGCTCTTGTTTGTGAGACCTGTTTGGGTGGGCGGTTGTCGCACCCAAGCACTACCAGGGACCTTCATAGCCTGGTGGCACAGCCACGGCCTGGGAAGGGTCCCTGGCTGGTTTTCAGCTCACTGGTACAGATGTACCTTCTTCAGCCAGGCAGCAGCTGTCCCCCATCCCACTGACCCTCTCTTCTTCCTTTACAGCTGGGATAGACAAAGAGGCACCTTTAGGGCATGAGCTTGACCTGCTTCAGATGTACTCTTGGATGAGTGGGACTGTGCCCTGTTTTCCGTTCTCGAGTGCAAGGGGAGCACTCTCTGCTGGGCCCACTGTCTGCCACCTGTGCTGGAGATGCTGGAACAAGGAGAGAGCCACGCACCTCCTGGGGACCTCCTCACTTCAGCATCTCCAGCTGGGATGGGAAGTGCAGCCACGGCCGGGATGGTGGGGCCCAGGGCACATGCCAGCAACCCTCCTCTGTCCCTCCCTGTGCAGCCCCCACATGCCAGGGAAGGATGCAGGAACTCTTTGCAGGTGGCAGTCAGATATAATGGAGGGACTGAGCAGTACTGGGAAAAAAATGGGAGGGCAGCAGCTGGCAGAGCTGGGGTTGTGGGGGGCAGCCAAGAAAGGTGTCTCCCCACTTACCCCATGGGGAAAGGTGAGAAGAGGGGCACTAAAAGGGTGAAGGTCCCCAAGCATCACCAACAGCAGTGAAGCAGTTAAGCTGCGGGGAGCCCTTTATCGTTTGCTACATCTGAAAACAGCATAGTGAAGCCTTTGAGTATGGGCAGCGCTGTGCTGATATTGTCCCTTCAAAGCGTCCCCTCCACCAGCCCTTGCCGCTCAGTTCAGGAGGTGGGAATTGGCACCTGCTTGGAGACAGAGCTCAGCTAATGAGGAAAGCCTCTCAAGGAAGGGGACATCACTTCCTCGGGGCTGGCCTGCTAAAAATAGCCCAGTGGGGATGAATACTTGTGTGAAACAATCCCCAACCCAGTGTGATCTGGTGCATGCTGGAATTTCTTTAGGCTAAAATGAGGTGTAATGCGAGGCAGGCATGGGGAAGAAGAGGAAAAACTCATTACCTGATTTCTGTCATCTTATTAGGGGTCTGTGCTGGGGAGGAGAGAAGGGCCTGAGCCAGGGCAGGGCATAGACTTGGGGACCTGGCCAGCCCTCTCGGGGCACCTTGCTCTTGGGGCACCCAGCTTCCTGCTGTAACTTCAGCAGAACCCCAGAGCAAATTCCTGTGCTGCAAGACTATACCAACCCATTCACCAGGAGCTAAAATACCATGTGTTATTTGTTAACCCTTGC